CAGAGAGGTTGAACATTTTTTCAGACATGTGGGTCAGTAGAACAGAGTAGAGGATGCAGAAACAACCCCGGCACGTACAGATATCTGACCTTTGACACAAGGGTCAAAATCATACATTAGAGGATTTGTAACTCCTTTAACAAATGCCTGGGAAATTTGCTGTCTAAATGTAGAAGACTGAATTCAGACGAACTTCTCACCATGTGCTAAACTAAAATCAGGTAGGATCAGGTGTTCAGAGTGGTGTGGCTGCAGACACCAAAATCAAAATGAATCAAAGATCTCATTGTTAAAACAGAAACAGTCTGCTAGAGATAGAACAGGTAAAACTCTTGAAGACATGGACATAGGCAAAGACTTTCTGAAAAGAACCCCAGTGGCACAAGAAATAGTACATAGAATCACATCGGATTAAAAAGCTTCTGCACAGCAAAGGAACAGCCAACAGAGTGAAGAGACAGACTTCAGAATGAGAAAAGACTCTGCCAGCTATTTACAGAGAAGTAATATGCAGAATATATGAAGAACTCAAAAGACTTAGACTTCCCCAAAGACCCAGTCAAAACATGGGCAACTGAAATGAATAGATAGTTCTCAAAAGTAGTAGCACAAATGACCAGTAAACACTTAGGGTCCATGGGTGACCAAAAATGCCAGTCCCAGGCCAGCAGAAGGACTTCGGGGTACTGTGAAGACTGTAATTTTTCTCCATTACAAAAAAGAAAATGTTTTTAAACGACTGGTAAATGAGCAAGGAATTTATTCTAAAAAATACATGACTGGCCAGACGTGGTGACACAAGGCTGTAATCCCAGCACTCGGGAGGCTGAGGCAGGAGGATTGCCACGAGTTCAAGGCCAGTGTGAACTACATAGTAAGACCCTGTCTTAAAAAGTAATTAATTTAATAGTACATGACTTAAAATATATATCACATGAAATTTCCTAGTAATTCCAATACTGTATATTGAGAGATCAAGATTACAGGTACTTAGGGGGCCCCTTTTTTCTTGCTTTAATCATATCATAAAAGTCATCTATTTACAGTATTTAGTTCAGTCTGTGTTTTGCATGGTCACAGGGTTGCATATCTATCACCAGAGTCTAATTTTAGAACATTTGCAACACCCCAAAGAGTAACCCAAAGCCTATTTAGTGGTTATTCTGTGTTCTTCTCCTGCCTCTTGTACCTGGCAACCATTAATTTGATTTCTATTTGCATAGATTTTCCATTTGGGACATTTTTAAAAAATTAAATACTATGTCATGTGATCTTTCATAACCAGTTTCTTTCATTTAACACGTTTTCAGGGCTTAAGATGATGTTTCATGTATCAATATTCCACTCTTTTATTGCCAAATCATATCCCAATTAGTATTTTCTACTTAGGGTCAGGGATATAGCTCAGTGGCACAGTGCCTACTTGGCAAATGTGAGCTTGTGAATTCAATCCCTGGTACCAAAAGAGACAGAGAGAGAGAGAGAGAGAGAGAGAGAGAGAGAGAGAGAGAGAGAGAGAGAGAGAGAAAATTACCTGCTTAATTACCTGCTTGTCCATTAATGGATATTTGTGCCATTATTACTTTGTGGCTTTTAATGTTACTATGAGCATTTACATACAAGAGTTTTCTTTTCTCTTGAGTATAAATCTAGGAGTAGAAGTACTAGCTTATATGGTTTTTGGGGACCCACTAAACAATTTTCCAAACTACTTACACCATTTTAGCTTCCCACCAGCAATGTACGAGGCTCTCATTTCTCCACTTCATCTCCAACACTTGTTTTTGGACATCTTTCTCATTATAGTTATCCTGGTGCATGTGAAGTGGTATCTCATTGTAATTTCTATGTCCATTGTCACCATGACTAATAATGCTGACTCTCTTTTCATGTGTTAATAGGCTGTTTGTATGCATCCTTTGGAGAAATGTCTGTTCAGATCCTTTTCCCATTTTTTCATTTGTTTTGTGCCTTTTTAATTTTGAGTGCAAGAGTTCTTTAGTTGTCTGGGTTCAAAACCTCTTTGTAGCTCAGTTTTATCTCCCAGATTTAATGATGCTCCGAACATTCTACTAAGGTAGAAAACTATTCTAATACATGTGAAAAAGTGTTCATACAAAGTTTTTCTTGAAAAATATCTTTTTTATTTTATTAAATTTTAGCCATATGGAGTGAGTTAATCTGTTCTTTTTCTCTATAGTCATATTGTATTATGGCCAAATAATTGATAAATGAACCTGTTAACTCCCACAAGCTATTCTAATTCTTTTTACTTTCTGTTCTTAACTATACCAGTGGTTTATTCACAGTATCCAAAAATAGAAGATAAATATGAGGTTGAAACTACTTCCAAAATCAATTTATCTTGAACAGAACAACTCTGGCTTGCCAGGGAAAATTATTTCTTTGACATATTTTATACTATGTGTGCAGGCTCATTTAGAATTCTTTTGGTAGAATTTAAATATGGACTATGGGTCATAGTGTTTTATCAGTGTGTTTCCCAACCTTGGCGATTATACTGCATTATGTGAAAAGATATGCTAGTTCTTAGAAAACTCAAACTGAGGGTTTAGCGGTAAAAAAATTTCTTTGCTAAATGTATTTTGCTCAGAGAGTTCATGAACAAAATCAAACTGTACAGAAAATACTTCAAAGAATTAACAGCTGGGATTTTATCTTATTGAAAAGCATTTGCACATCAGAAGAAATCAACAGAGTGAAAAGACAACCCACAGAGTGGGAAAAAATTGTACCCAATTCTCCCTGAGACAAAAGACTTCTATCTAAAACCTATAAAGAACTAAAAAAAAACTGAGACACCCCCAAATTCAAAGGTCAATCCAGAAATGAGCATCTGAGATGAATGTACACTTCTCAGATGAAGAACTACAAATGGCAGGGCTGGGGATTTAGCTCAGTGTAAAAGCATTTGCCTGGCAAGTGTGAGGTCGTGAGTTCAATGCCCAGTACCAACAACAACAACAACAAAAAGAAAGTGCAGTATGTGTACACCCTGGAGTACTGCTCGGCCATAAAGAGCAAAAGGAAAGATGGATACTGCTGAGAAGGTAACCAAGAGATGGAGGGTGCAGAGGAGAAGAGGATGCAAAATGAATTAAGATGTGTTACGTCCACTGCCCACGAGGAATGTAATCATTAGGCACCAAAAACATACGCTAATAAAAATTAAAATTAAAACATTAGTTCTTTTTGATCTGTGTTTTCAACTGGCCATAAGATGGTTTTGCTGGAGTAAAACCCCGAAGGGGTAATTGGGGAAGACACTGACCCTGGAGTTGGAGGAGCTGGACGGAGGAACGCTAGCACAAAACCATTTTAATTGTTATTATTTGGATTTCTAAGATGGCAATATGTAATCCATTAACCCCAGTGATTTCCTTCTGTTTATTTTTTTGTCTGAAATTCTGTATAACTGGTACCCCTTTTCAGCTTTTTTTTCTTTTTCTCCTTAAATAAAATTTTTTTTAAAAATTTTATTATTTGGTTTCTCCTGTAAGAGAAACTCTGTGATATTTAAACTTGTGGGGTTTTTTATTTCCTTTATTTACAGTTATGGTCTCAACGTGCATCCACTTTCTTACAGTAAATGACTCTAGTGTACCCTTCTCTACAGAGTAGTACTCCATCGTGTATAGGAACCACATATTCTTTATCCTTCCATCTGTTGACAGACAGAGAGGCCCTTTCCAAGACTTGGCTATTATCAGTCATGCTGCTATACACATGAGTATGTACATATCATTATGGTAAATGTGATGTCTTTATTGGAGAAGATACCTAGAAGGGGCTGGCTTGGTCAAATGGAATTTCTAGTTTTAGTTTTTGAGGATTCTCCATAAAAACATAACTAACTTTATGTCGTTAGGAGAAAATGTGTATCTCCAAACTCCTCTATTAACATCCAGTTTAAATACTACCAGAATGAACTGGCTCCTTCAGCAGCTCACACTGGTTGTCACATCAGAGAAGAACAAGCTGCCCCCTATCCCCAGTCTGTCTAGTCTGCCGTGGCTGTGTCCTTAGGAAGGCCCCATGCAGACAGCCCTCACAGGCCACTGAATGTGATGCTCTGTGTATCTGTAAGTCGCCCTTGTTCCGGGCATGGTGCCCCAAGGCAGCACCAGCATCAGCGGGGAGCTTGTCCAAGGTGCAAGTTCACGGGCTGCATCCCAGACCCTCTGAGTCAGAAATTTCCGTGAGAGGGCTGAAGACAGCACTGTAACCAGCCCCCAAGGGGCTTCTGATGCGCACTGGAGCCTAAGAACCGTTGCTGTAGTTGAACATTTTGTGCCAAAAAGTAAAAAATAAAACAGTAAAAGAAACAGGAAGTCACCTATAATCCCAGCATTTGGGAGGCTGAGGCAGGAGGATTGCTGTGAGTTCCAGGCCAGCCTGGGCTACAAAGTGAGTTGAAGGCCAGCCTGAACTGCATAGTGAGTCCCTATCTTAAAAAGACCCAAAAAAGAAAAGAAAGACAAACTAATAAAGACAAACTAATAAACTAAGAAAGGGCTGAGGATTTAGCTCAGTGGCATAAGCACCTGCCTTGCAAGCACAGGGTCGTGAGTTCAAATCCCAAGTACCAATAAATAAATAAATTTAAAAAAGAAAGGAAGAATACACAGAGTTAAATTCTGTGAAGTAGCAAAATGTGAATAGATGAGGAGAGAAGGAGGTAAACAGAAGCAGTGAGAACCAGCAGCCCTAAGTGAAAGACAACCAAGGGGCATCTGGGTTCACAGCAGCTGCCACTCACAAGGCACAGGACCTACAGAACACCTCTCAAAGCTGCCTGAACTCAGGAGAGCAAAACTGCGCTGCTGGTAAAACCAATTTTTGAAAACTTGAGTGACAGTGTCTCCAGCTGTGACTCACATAAACGCTTTGGCCCCAAAGCTGCCCGCCACAGCGCAGCTTTGGGGTTGACTCTGGCTTGTCCCGAGGCCCTGCACTCACAGTCTGTCTCTGTCTCTCAGTAAAGGGCTGCCTCCAAGTTCGACCTTCACCCTGGAAGAGGGGACCATCTACTTGACGGCTGAGCCAAGCACCGTGGAAGCGCAGGACGACAACGCCTCCGTGCTTGATGTCTACTTAGTAAGTCATTTGTTTTTCATTTCTTCCTTCCCGTTTTAGTTTACAAATGGATCCAGACCATGCTTACACAAAAACTAGTTCTGTAAAACCAGGCACGCTTGGGTTTTCAAAGAAACAATGGCAGCCCATCACTGCCACAGAAGGGGGTGTCTTTTCTTTGCTGTGTGATGCTTCGCACGCCTCACTGTGAACATCACACAAGGTTGTGGAGGTCAGTGCTCAACACCGGCTAGCACAGAAAATGCAACCCAGGGGCACAGGAAAGTGGGGCGCCCTGGGGTCATTCCCAAGAGAGCTGCTCCTTCCTGTGGCTCGGTTATGCCCTGGGGATTGAATCTTCTTCATTTTGCTGTTACCTCTTCCTATCTTACCACTCTCTCATGCCTGGGACATAACTCCTGACATTACAACAAGCAACAGCGTGGTGCAAGGACCCGCCGTGCAGGGAGGCTGCGCACCTCATGGTGAGCAGGAGACACAGAGAGAAGAAAAGAAGTCGGGGAGGAGCTGTGCCTTTCCAGGTCAGGCCCCGTGACTGTCCCCTAACAGAAGTCAGCTTTAGTGTCCCCATCCATTCTCCTTCCAGAAGGGCCGCCTCTGATTGCGTGAGTCTTTGGGGAACATTCTAGATCCAAACTATAACACCACCTTGCTAAGTCCAGGAGCCCTGGGTTGTTGGAAGAACTGAATCCAGCACCAGTTGTTAAGGCTGAGCCAGTTCTGTCCATCACTGTGGTGGACAAGCAGAGCTCTGGGAGTCAGCACCACTTGGCGTGGGTCTCACAGCTGCACCCCGGGCCTCTCCACACCCACAGTCTGGCTCTGTATTTTCTCAAGTGTGCCCTGCAGAACATCAGACCCTAAAATGTTCCTTTGGAGTCTGCAGCCCCCTGGTGTCTCCTCACAGCCCTCCCCGATCTGGCTCCCAAGCCCCAGGACCCTCCTCCTGAGTCTTCCTGTGAGCTGCCTCACTCTCCTCTGCTAGGGGTTCCTCTCACAGACCAAGCGTGTTTCTGCCTCAGGGCCTTTGCCTTCTCTGTTCCTGTCTGTATTCCCTTTCTCAGAGCCGACACACGCTTCTTCATTTCCTTCATGCCTCGGCCCAAAACCTGTGCTCCTCAGAAAGGCTTTCCCTGATCCCCCTGCATAAAATAGCACGTCCCACCAACCACCGTGGAAACATTTTTTCGTAACCCCTAAATATCCTGGCTTCTGGACTAAACAGAATTTTTCTACTTTGCATGGCTTCTGCTCCCAGTTAAAAAGTAAGTTAGTTGCATATTGCAAACTTCTTACAAAGTGGATGTGACACATATACCCAGCCAGGAAAATAGAGAATTTAACAGGAAAATATTAAACAGGTCTGGTTTTGTTTGTTTGCTTTTTGGTCTCATGGTAATCGGGGTCATCTGGAAGTGGAAATCACAAAAGTATTTCAGAAAGAGCCAAGCGAAGTCTCGTCTTGCGTAGCCAAAGGTTCGAGCCCCTTTTATGTGTCTGGACAATGACACTCCTGAACGGAGTGTGAGATCACAAGGTGATTAAATGGCTCAGTTAGTGGCATTTCTTGGTTTGTTGACTTATGGGTCATTTTGCTTTTTCTCTACTCTGTATTATCAATTTTATTTGTTTTTTTTTTAAGTACTATTTATTTAGTATTCCTTGGTCTTCAATTCATTGCTTTTTTATGTCTTCGCTCAACACTGAAAAGCTAAGCTTTTCAAAAGTGGATAATACTTGACTCCAAAGCTCCGAGGAGAAGCCACAGAGATAACTGTTAGTTGTACTACAAGCACTTAAATCAGGCATGAGTTGCTAACTGAAAAAGATGTTGGTGGTGCCAGCTGGCTGGCTGGTCATCTGCTCAGCCTTCTAGCCCAATTTATTGTGGTTTAAAAGTGAAAGGAGGGAGAAAAGAGAGAAAAACTGGGTGTAGCAGTGCCCTCCTAGAAGCCCAGCACTCCGGGAGGCTGAAGCAGGAGAGTCACGTCTCAAACCCAGACTGCAGTCAGCAAGACCTTGTATCAAAATGAAAAATAAAAAAGGGACTGGGGATGTAATTCAGTGTGAAGACTGTACATTCAGTCCCCAGTACCATAGGAGGAGAGAGAAGAGGATAATGACAGGCAGTAAAAATATTTCTCACCAAACTCAGGCAAAAAGCCTAATCCTAATTTGTAGCTAATAGCAAGAAGTTCTGGAGCATTTGTGAGTTTCCTGATTGCCAGCATCCTTAATGCTGTTTATATATTAATCTTTCTATATTTTAACTCATTTCATCCCAACAACAACCTTCTGAGGTAGGCGTATCACAAGCTCTGTTTTACAGACAACAAAAGTGAGGTACATCAGAATCATGCGGGAAGGCCTGGGTTATGTGCCAAGCACAAGGCCAGTCTTTGTCCGACATGCGTTGGGTCATTCTTGGAATAGCTGTCACATGTGCCTCCATTCAGACAGATAAAGAAACCGAGGCTTAGTACAGCCAGTTCTCAGAAACAGGACTGGCAGCCAGAACTCACGTCCAGCTCCACGTGCCCTTCTGTCCGGACCTGGACCAAGAAACCCCTGTCATCGGCACTGTCCACCCAGACCATCTCACTTCCGTCTCAGGGGCCTCCTGCTCCACAGGAAGCAGAGAGAGACTCAAAAAGGAAGAGGAACATGGGGCTTTGTGCCCAGAATATTTGTTATAAAATTCTACCTTGAGGGCTAAGGATAAAGCTCGGTGGTAGAGCACTTGCCTCGAATGTTTGAAGCCCTGGATCCAATCCCCAGCACCTTAGATTGAAAACATTCACTTCCAATTGTTTCCTCTCTAGCTTACTTTTGAATGATCTGTTACAACAATTCTCAAATCTTTTCATCTCAGGATCCCAGTATATTCTTAAAATTTTTTGAGGATCTCAAATAGTTTTGTCACTTTTTTTTTCTTCTGAAACAGTGACTTACTGTTACCCAGGCTGGCCTTGAACTCACAACCCTTCTGCCCCAGCCTCCCACATAGCTAGGCAAACAGCGTATGCCATCAGCTCAAATAGCATTTGTCTGCATAGATTGTATCTCCAAAATTAAAACTGAGAAAATGTTAAAATACTTACTCATCTAAATAATAGATACTGTATTAATTTAAACAACATTTTTATGAACATAATTATAATTTTCCCAAGTAAAATTAAGTGTAGTGAAAAGAGCAGCATTAGTTTATGTGTTTTTAAATGTTTAACACCTGTCTTCCTACAGAAGCTGGATTCTCATATCTGTGTTCTGCACCAGTCTTTCTAATATGACACCTCATTTCACCTCTGGGAGCTCCACTATACACACAGAGAGAAGGGGGATGGAGAGGCAAACAGCATGCTGGTGTCATTAGGAAAGTAATTTGACTTCATGGCCACTGTACAGTTTTCCTGGCTTTTTAACTTTGCATCTTCGAAACCACGTATGCACTAATTAGAAATAGGCACGTATGCATTAATTAGAAATAGGCACCAGCAACCTGTGCCTGTCTCTGCTTCCTGTTAATCGCTGCCCCTTGAATAAATTGTGTTGTTGGGGCCTCAGTTTTCTCGTCTATAAAATGCATTCATTAAATCATCTCTGAACCCCACACCAGGTCTGATGGAGTTGACTCATTCTAAGTTACAAGAACTTGCAGAAACACTGTTTCCCAAAGAAGCTATAATTGCATCTCCTATATTTGCTGTTTCATCACCTTCAAAACTGTAAACCTCATGGTCTTTAACCTTAAACTTCATGGCAGTACAGCATCTGAAACATTCTACACCGCTGGCTTCTGACTCCATCACATATTCTCCTGCTGGAGACTTTTTTTTCTATGTTGCATGTTTTCCAAATCTAGAGGGATTCCACTCATTGCTTTCCCTGTGACATTTTCATTTTTCTCTATATATGAAAGAGTGATGGAAAAGAAAAACGACGCTTATCTCTGTTTTCTCCTTTCTCCCTGACCTACCTCCAAAGCTTTGCACCCTACGGGCTGGGCGTATAGCTCAGTGGCACAGGCGCCTGCCTGGCAAGTGTGAGGTCCCAAATTCAATTCCCAGTACCAAAAAAAAGAAAAGAAAAATCTTTTCCAGGCATGGTGGCGCATGCCTGTAATCCCTGCACTCTGGAGACTGAGGCAGGAGGATCACTGCAAATTTGAAACCAGCCTAGGCTACAAAGTAAGCTCAAAGCCAGCCTGAGCTGCATAGTGAGACCCTGTCTTGTCTCAAAAAAAAGAAAAGAAAAAGGCCTGTGTCCTAAACATCTTCACTTGCAGAGCAGTTGGAGGCTGTTATAGTGACAGTCTATTCAGTGCTGTTACCAAGTACAGTCAGATTTCTCTTATAATATTTCTCCTCTCCAGGATATAGCATTTCTCTACTAGCAATTATAAACTGCTTTTATTTATACAGCAATAATGAATAATGATGTTTATGTCACCCTTAAAATAATGCAGATTTAAACCAGCTGTGGTGGCACATGACTAATCCCAGCATTTGGGGGAGGTGCAGTAGGGTTTCAAGTTCAAATCCTGCCTGGGAAACTTAGCGAGACCTTGTGTTAAAATCAGAAAACTAAATTTAAAAGGCCTGGGATGTAGCTCAGAGTTACAGTGCTCCAGGGTTCAATCCCTAGTACCACACACATAAAAACAGCTTTTAACCAAAATGCCCATCATATAATACATAAAATGTCCCTTGAAAGATTCACCCCCACATCATATCCATAAGAGTCAGGGCGACTATTCTGCTTTTTCCTGAGATTTTGCATGAAATTATAAAGGAGCTGTCACTCAGAAGGCAATGCATCCTGCCATCCACCTTGTATCCTCGCTGTGCCCAGGTTCTGTATCTCCAGCCACCCTGCCCTGCTTTCCAAAGGCCATTCACCCTTGCACTGTGGCCTTCCAAGCTTTTTGAATCTTCACAGATGTTCCAATGAGCAGAGGTGCTTTTTAAGAGGACTTTATCTAGTGACCAAACATGTTTTCT